ACTCTGCTTTGCGAGATTGTTCTCTTTCTAACTCGTCAAAAGAATAAAAGAACTAAATAAATTTAAAGTGAGAGTCGAGTGTAAGGAACTAAAGCAGTTCACTTTAATCCCACGCAGATTTCCAAATTTTAGTCTCCAAAGTATTGCAAGCTATCATTGACGTCAGTCAAACCACACTTCATTAACTCCGTCACATTTTCTGGACCAATTGTTTAGATATCTGATGGAAGATGAAGAAGACATGTCAACCTTACAAAAGCCAACTTGCCAGTTCCCACAAATCAATCTCTTATCATAGTAGTGGCTGGCGTCTAGGTGGTGTGACATTCCTGGCGGTTTGAGTCATAAACTAATTTTCTTGCAAACCAAGGAATTTTGACTAGTAGATTAACGAATTTGTGCCATTGAAAGATGTTTTTTTTAAAGTTATTTGAGTTGTTAAAATTGATTTGAACGATATTTTGGCTTAAAGCACTCCCTTTAAAAGTGCATTTTTTGATGTTAAATAGAGTGCTGTTATTTTGACAAAAATATACTAAATAAACCTAAATTATTTGTTCCAAATCGAATAATGTAGTGGCGTATTTGGTTTAAAAATGGCTTGCTGCGTTGTCATCTTATGCATATATTCATAAAATGCGTTCTACTAAATAAAGACGGGAGTCCTCTTGAATGTCACAGTGTTGCATGGTATTGGCCCCATAGCGTCGTATCTAACAAGTGTGGCAAGGTGCGAAATGAGATGTGCAAGTTTGGATGTCAGATGTGTTTACATCTCACCTATCACCGTACTTATTTCACCATCAAAAACCATGCCTCACATTTCTCACTCATTTAGGTCTGACATTCTGACCATAGAAAAATCTGTTCATCAAATGATTGTAAAGTCTTACCATTAAAACTACTTCACAAATTTCATAGCTAGTGTTGTAAGCTGATTAGATCATGAATTGACTTCTAACTCTACGTTGCACGCGAGGCTAGAATGATTTAACTGAGGACAGGTTACTTCCATGTATCCTCCACAGAGTGACCTAGAATCCATCCACCTACAGCGGGTGGCTTCCATATGCGCTACCAAGATTTAGCGATATGCTGAGGGATTCAAGGTATTAGTTCCTCACTTCCCCTTTTTAATTCTGTTTCTCATTTCCATCAAAGTTCCAGTGATCGTGCCAGGTCATAACAGTATGCTAGACGACTACTACTGGAAGTCTTAGATTACTGCAAAGCTAGAACTGCAGCTGTAGTTATGGGTAATATTATTAACATAATCAGAGGTAGTTATATCTGCAACCGAACGCCATAGTGCTTTTAAAACAATTAAAACAAACTAATTACCCAATTAAAAATTGACGTTAAAGTTGAAACTGGGGACCCGTAGACCACAGGGCTACATTGTTTTGTCGCGTAGAGTTAAAAAATACCAAATCAATAAAAACTAAAATTAGATCACTTCGTCATGCATCCCAGAGCCCGACATTTAGGCAAGATAAAGAGACACAAGGCGAAACATTTCAAATATAATTGTTGTTTTTTAGACACCAGACACAACACCACAATGGGACCACGCGATAAGCTACACGCCCCTCTGTGCGACACCTTCTGCTACCTGTTACAATGTCCTACATTTTATGCTTCCAGCAGTTTTTTAAGCCTGATTGCTTCGGTTTAAGTTTGCAGTTAATGCGCTTTTAATTCTTCATCACCTCTCCAGGAACGTTAATAAGCCAAAGCATTGCAAGCAGGTAGAATTCATCCAATTTTTGCTTTAGTAAACATCTCGGCATCCATTATCTTTCAAAAAATTTTTTTTAATTTCTTCTTTCCGCCACTTTATTTGTGCGCATTATTCCATCCATTGTTTCAGATGGTAGTGTTTTAGTTGTGCATGTCATGAGAGGTTAGTGTGCCTACCGCCAGGGCACCAGCTTCATGCTGTTTCTTATTCCCACTTGTTTCGACCACTTTCCCTATTTACCTTTAATAGCAATTGCGTTGGCAGACAGGCTAACTAATCCGTATATAGATGGACTAACAAAGTAAACAAAGAAATCAAGGATGTTCTGAATTACCTCACACACTGCCCACAAACGTTAGAGATTAATATTTTTTGTCCTCCTACAATTTCTTACTCATTTTTTCTCATTCCTTCTCCTTTTTCTCGAAAGTCCCACTTCTTGTACTCTTTCAGTACAACATTTCTTATTATTTAACACCCGTATTGAGTTCGAGTCGCCTCCAGTCTCCTCTCCATTTGGGGGCAACAATATGCTCAAAAGCAGAATTTTGAAGAAGAACTTACGTTTACCAATTCCGTAGTGGTACACAGGTGATTCACCAATTTCTTTTCCTCATTTATCCTTTGATCTCCTTCATTCCTACATTTTGCAAGCACAAAATTAGCAGTAAAATAATTTGAAGGACATTATAGTAATCTGAACTTTGCCAGGCTGCGGTAAGTGTAACTTGGCTAGACTGGACTAGATTGGGCCATCTCCTCTACCATTTATACTCTGCAGCTGTTTCTTTCCCTAACATTTAAGTTCTACTTTATTTGCCACCCAAAGTCGGTTAGAAAGATTATGAGACCGATTGAGACTTTTCCACTTTGTGTCGCAGATATTGGGGAGCAGTATGCTCATGTAGGACCACATGACACGTTCAAACAGGCGAAGGAAGTAAGACTCTCCTGTCTCTCCCTTATCGTACTTTTCTAGTCACGCCGATGTTAGGGCTTTCAGACATTTAAACACTCGAATACAGGGACAATTTATAGCATAATTAAAGTAGTATAGACATGTTGAAACTGTCACATTCACCGTATGTTTTATAGTTCATGAGTTGGGATATCTTGCATTTTGTTAAAGATCTTGTGAATCATCTAAGGTAGCAAAAACTGTTCCGTGACTTTGTTAAGTATTTGACTGAGTAAGATCATTTCTCTTTTGTACACTACTTTGAGTTTTGAATATGGCGAGAGGTACTGAAGGGAGAGAAGGTGTGAGGGTCTTGTAGTTGCAGATATGCATGCACCAGTGAACCAGGTGATAAGCGAGGCAAATGTCTAGAAGTCAGCCGGAGAAAAAGGGCAAGCTATCTTTGTTAGCGATGAAGGACGGATAAGACAGAAGAGAAGAATTTGTGCATTGAATGCATTGCAAGCACCACTCCCGTTTGAAATGTAGGA